GATGCAGGGGGTGGGCAGTGGGTACGGGAGGGGGTGGCTTCAGTGGGAAATAGGATTATAAAGAGGGCTCTAGTGTTGCCTAGAAGACAAAAGTGACTGACGATTAGCGTAATATTTGTTGCACAGTGCATCACTGGCTGAGCATCGTGAACATTTATCGCTAGTGCCAGCCAATTTCATCTAGCATTTCATCACACCCTGCTCCGGCCTGTGAAATCCCTCGTAGTTTTACAAACAGTCAGAGTGTGAGAGGAGCAGGAGGAAATAAAAAGAGAGAGAACATGTTATCGGCGGCTGCCTGATGTGCCTTCTATACCTCGAGGCACAGTGCTGGAAAATTCAGCGTGAACTTTCGACACTTAAATGCTAAAATGCGACTGATTTGAGATGATAATAGGCGCCTTAATAGAAGCTGATCTTTCGCAATGGCTTCCAGTCCTATAGCACGCAGCTGTAATGCAATGTGAGTCGACAGTTCGGTAAGGAAAAAAAAGTGGAGAAAGGCACAAATAGTGAAAGATAACACAACATATAACCCTGCTTGCTGGCTGAGAGGGAAACATGTCTCTGCTCCGTATCAGGGCGGTCGGAGGTAGAGCAGATTGGAGAGGGAGCAGGAGACAGGGCAGGAGACAGTAAGTGGAGCTGGCATAGCGAGGATCCAGGCGAGGGGGCTTGACGGTGTAAGAACGGAGCTGACCCCTCAGCCCTCCAAGATCCACAAATGGACGCAGGCGTTGGACGGGACAGGCCTGGAGTCAGAGACCTGCTCAAGGTTGACAACAGCTGGGGTCAACCTTCAGCAAACCCGCGTGTAAACAAGCTGCTGAAAGAAAGCTAAAGGGCTCAAATCATGGCTGCTTCCATGGTAATCCTTCACTTATTGCCATGCTGAATTGGCCTCAGATATTTGAGGGCTGCCTCAAAGGAAAAGCTGGAGTAAGTGTATAGCACACCAGTGTTTGCTGCAGTAACAGCAACAGTCCCAGAAGTCCTTAACATTTCTCTTACTTATTTTTGGTTAGATTTGAGAGATTTCTGCCTCCATCGGATCAAACATGTCGTGAAATGCTGAGGAAATCATTACACTGAAAACTGTTGACAGTGTGTTGGTGATGCTGATATGGAACGTTTATTTTTAAATACTGTGAGCAACAAACACATTTCCTTCTACCTCTATTGTATAGGGGTTGAAGGAAGGAATCTTGGAGATGTATATCTCAATACGGAGCATATTATTGACCATGGAAATAGCAGTTTGACATTAAAAAATCTCGTAAGGCAAGTGCTAGTGTGAATGTTTCTTATTGGCAACAAATGAAATAAAAAAAAGTATTTGTGTATTGATTTTTGACCTTGAAGTTGTGTTTTTGGTTACTACTAAAGTTTAATTTCTTATTTATTTATCAATAGTTTCGTAAAACAGTTTGGCACTGTAGAGCAAAGAATACTAAAATAGAGTATGTATGGTGCATTTGTTGGGAACTCTTTTAGCGGTGTACACATTTGTTGCTCTTGTGAGAATATATAGCGCATAATGCCTGTGTTTATAGTAGTCAACGAACATGTCATCTATGTGTGTTTGTAGTTTGGACCAGAGAGTTCTATGGTTAAGACAGGGTTGTGAGGCTTACTTTAAAAGTGTATTCTGTTACTATTTAGCCTAAACTGTGTCGGATCAACATTTCAAAATAATGTGACATTACATTTGGATTACATCAAGATCAAATACAATGCAATTTAAATAAAAACGTTGTTTACTTAAGTGTATTATTTAAGAAAAAATAACAATGTGATCTACTGAGTATCAAAATGATTCTCTTGATTGGAAAAGCTGCCTTTCATGAAGCATATTCAGGCATTAGCCTATACACCAACACTGAAACATATGAGCACACACTACAGTTTAAAAAAGCAGAAATAAAATCTGAGTTGACAGAAATGATCTGTTTTAGTTTCATACACACAGTTAAAGGTGGGGTAGGTACGTTTGAGAAACCGGCTGGAGATACACTTTTTGTTATATTCCATGGAATGCTCTTAACATCCCGATAGCAATGAATATCTTAAGTGCTTTGACAACAAATCCATAAAAACATGTCATCTGTGGAAGCCGTAGTGCTGTAAAAAGCACGACCAATCTTCTGAGCCGGCCCGGCTAAAATAACTGGATGGCCTACCTGCCTGTCAGCCTTCCATCTGTGCACAAACTTATCTCGTGCCCTCATTGGTCATGTGCGCGTTCGTGTGTGTTGGAGGAGGGGCTCTGTAAGGAAGTGGCAGATTTTTTAAGGCTGTGTATTTTCAAATTCTAGCGCACTCGAGCTGGTTTCTCCAAAATGACCTACCCCACCTTTAATTTCTTCTAGTTTCACAAAGATTTAATTCAACAACACGCCTCTGAGGTAAGATTGAAGTGTTGGAAAATATAATCTGCTGGGTGAGCATGAAAGAGCAAACATACAAAGTTAGCTTATTTTTTACTTCTGTAATGTAGCTGAAGTGTTACAGATAACTAATTGTATCTAGGATTATGTAGACCCATAACTTTGCTGTTGAAAAGAGGTTGTACATAGTAAGAAAGTTATATTAGTTGTATCTTCTACAATATAAAGTCTAACAGCCAGGTATTGTGAAGTCTTATCTTCCCCTAACTACTTTACTGTCCATGAGTCTTACACAGCTTTAAATCCTTTAATTCGTCAGACCAGATAAGAGTTCTGTTTGCGTGCAAAGTGTTTCAGCATGTGGATTTGTGGTCTCGTTGTTTAAACTGTGAGATAATAACAAGGGATTGTTCAGTTTCCCTTTAGCCACAAATGTAAGACACAGCTTAAAGGGACTCTAACGTTAGCATTGTGGGATCTGGGGATTACTTTTCTGACTTTCCCACAGACAGAGGGTTGAAATAAACATCACACTGTAGTAGTAAGTAACATGGGGAGAAAATAGGACTCACCTTAAGTTCACTTACGATATGATTGGGAGCAGGAGAGTCCAGGGACATACTCTTGGAGGGAGGTTCAGAGTTCTGCTCCTTTCCCCTCCTCTCTTTGTCGTCCCACACCCTGTTCTCTTTATCGTCTTCTTCTGCCTTCTGCCGTTCCAGTTTCTTTTTCTCCTGAGGTCCATTCTCCTGCTCGTCTTTCTTCCTCTTCTCACTTTGCTCCCTTTCCAACCTTTCCTTCTCCTCCTTCTCCCGTCTCTCACCCTCTGCACGACGCTCCTGGTTTCGTTTCTCCTGCTCTTGCTTCGCCTTCTCCATCCCTGCTACAGCCTCAGAGTGTATCTGGCTCTGTTCTTCTTTAGACAGTGAATTGTTGGGGGTGATAGATGGTTTGACTGAGCGGTCGGACATATTTGGGCCGTTCTGCATGGATCCGTTCTGGCCGGGCTTTGGCTCGTCGGTAACACAGACAGAGGGTTTCTTGGTACGGTCAAACTGGGACAGGGAGCAGAAGGAATAAACAAAACATGAGTGGTATTGAAACACACAGCTCTATGTTTTATACTCCCAAATATACGGATACAGTACCTGTGGGAAAGCTTTGTTTGCAGGCGTCTGAATGGATGCACCTGCTGCAGGGCCCTTCTTACTAAGGTCTAGCCCAGAATTGGTCGAGCCGGTGACGGTGGACTCCAGAGAGTCTGGCGGCCCGTCAGTAACCTCGGAGGTTTTTGATGTGGGGGGTTCTGCTGGTGCAACCCCGTTCACCAGCACAGGAGCGGAGGCCTCCTGAGGCTCGGGTGTCACCTCGGGCTCTGGTTGAGGTGGGGTCACAGGCTTTGGTTCCTCTAGGGATGGGTAGCTAAAGTTCACTGTTCGAAGCATCACAGGAAGGAAATACATTTGAAAGAGAATCATTAAATATAGGAACATTTATCTTAAGAGTCATTTCAAATGAGCCATTAATATGGGCTTTGGAAACTATGTAGTGTAAATATGACACTTGGACAAGAGAAAAAAAAGAGTAGCCGCTGGTAACAGTTTGGATTATTTCATTGTTGTTGTTTTTAAAAAGGTGCATGGAGGATCACATTTTGAAAACACAAGCATGGTGTGGGATTCAATGCTCATAAGTAAAATGAGAATTCGCTCACTTTATTTTAAACATGAATTAGTTAGCCTTAATCTTTTTTTTCTTACAATAAAACAACATGAGCTGCATAACAAACAATCGATTAAACTACGTGGCCTGATAAATACAAAGGGCCAAAGCTCTAACATGCCCATGGTGCTGCTCATACTCACACTGGGGGCGGGAGCTGATGACATTCGGTCGAGGAGGGTGGACTTTAGCGTTGGATGTGAACATGGGGTAAAACAACAGCCAGTTCTCGTAGCCTCCCTCCAGCACCAGCGGCTCACTACGCAGGATTGTGATGCTGTCCCACTGTGGAGAGTGCAAACACATCATTGTAGCTCACAGGAAGGTTCTGCAGTTGTTATTCACACTCTAAACCCCACCCACTCACTTTAAAGAGGGCGTCTTTGAGGCTCTGCAAGGTGGTGCCCAGTTTGAGGTCAGTGACAGAACTGAACCAGTCCAGCAGCACTATATAATCCACAAATCCCCTCCGCTTCCAATGCTCTTTAGACGCATCTGGCAGCTTCCCCTCAATCTGAGTCACAATGATTCTGAAAAGCCACAAAGAACCAGTTCAGGAGGACAGGTATTACAATGTACTGTAGTCTTTTCTACTTCTCATTATTTTGATTTGACAAACAGAAAAGCAACAAAAGGGAATAATACATTCATTTATATCATCATGTCCAACTTACAAATGACACATTCAGTGTCAGATCAAACTATCAGGTACGAGGCCTACTCTCACCCTGGGCTGACGGCCTCCTCCGGCACGCTAATGCACGTCTGGCCCGGGACCTGAATGCGAGACTCCTCAAAGTCCCTGAGACTGCGCGCATCCATAACAATTATTGTAATTGTCTGGTCCTCCATCATGTGGAAAAGTTTCTCAGCTGAGATGCTACCAGCTGGCACCGCAGCTATCAGACAAAAAAGAAATAAAAAAATCTGAAAAGAACAGTCTCAAATTCCAAGTACATTATGGTGAAACACTCACCATATTGGAACCTAATCTCTCGGTTTAAAGAAAGATTTTAACATCAGAAGGAAATGTATTCTGCTTACCTTTCGAGGGTGTATTCCTTAGTTCAGTCTTCAGTTCATTCTGTTCTCCTTTTATCTGATAAAGAAAATCATCATGTTAAAATGCTAATGTTGATTTGAATAATTCGGATTTGGACAAATGGCATTTGTTTTATTATTAAATCAATTGAAGGAAAATATTAAAACAAACCATTATACACAACAGCGCCATTCATATCTTTACGGATTAGGCTATTAGTGTCACTGGTATTACTGGCATGATGTAAACTGTAGATTTAAAACTGTACATTGTATAAAAGTTATTTAAAAAAAATCATAAACCACAACCTTCACATCCACTTGCAAAACTTCAGTTTTAGACACACAGACTGAAGCAATTCTCATTGAAATTAAGTGCCTATCTTTTTTAATTCATAACAAGAAAATATATATCTACCTTTTTGCTGTCCTTCTTATTTGCTAAAGACACTTTTGGAGAACCTCGACCGCTATCTTTCTCTTTCATTTCCTCCCTCCTTTTCTTCTCCTCTTGTCTCTCCTTCTCCTCAAGTTTTTTTAGAACCTCAACTTCCTCATACCTGTTCACAATGTAAAGATTAACAGAGTTAAAAAAAAAATTTTTTCTCAAGTCAGATTTTGAATCTTATGCATTAATAAGTAATGTGCAATATTAAAAAACTAACCTGAGTTTAAGGCTTTCAGAGAGTTTCTCTGCGGCTTCGATGGCTTTCTTAAAGCTGTTTGGCCCAAGCATGGTCATGTAATAATCCTTTGTACAATGGAATGGAGAAAAGTTACACACTAAATCCAAATCTTGTTAGTTTTCCACACAAAGTTACACATTTATAATGTTTAACTATACCGGTTGCTGCTTGAAGTCTGGTCTTTTCTTGATGATGTCATATACAGTTAAATACTTCATGTACAGCACGTAAGCTTTCTCCTCGTCTCTGTCCAGACGACACTCCTCTGCCGCCTTGAAGATTTTGCAGGCACTCTGAACATAGCTGCAACAAAGCATATAAAAAGCATAATTTAAATAACATAATCACCATGTGATTGTAAAATGCTTGGGTTTAAGTTGTACTGGGGATTTTAGCATGTGTTGCGAGGCTTTGAACCCAATTAATTTTGTTTGATTAAAGGTTGCTGTACATTTCAAAAGGATTACACTTATTCAAACTTTAACGCAACAATCTCAATCACACGTTATATTGTCTCTTTCCCTCACTTGGAGACATTTTCTCTGTGTTATGAGTGCTTTACGGTAAATACTGGAAACATGAAAGTTAGCATTACTTCCGGGTGCTTGTCTTGTCCGGCTTAATTTCAGCCTTTTTGTTGAGTTCCCCCAGAGAAGTGGACAGATACAGCTCTCTGAGCCCGTTGGAAACTGCAGGCATCTTGGCGGATGTGTTCAGTAAGACTCACAGGCAGTGTTCTACACAAGCTCTGAACATCCCTGTAAAACAAAATAACCAAAGCTGTGATTAAAACACTCAACCAGTCCTGTTAAAAATTCTAAATAGCATTGATAACATCAACAAGTAGCTCATGGCCTCACATATTATCACTCTAAGTAAGACAACAGTTTAACCTACCACAATAATTACACTTTTGACTTATTGTAAGAGATAGAGAAATGCCTTTCAAACAATTTAGCTGAACTCATCTTGGCTGGCTTTTAAAATATTTGTTTGTTTACATAAGATTGTTGCCAAAATAATACTAGAATAAACAGCAGGGTTATCCCTACCATAATACAACTAATAACTAAACCAATGTCTCCGCAGCAGGGATTGGTAGTGTAGTACGAAATCTTAGGAGGATATAACATAATTTCATTATCAGTCATTAGGCAGGCAAATACATTTACACAGGATGTTTTACAACAAGCATTGAATTGTGCTGACATCAAACATTTTAACTTTCACTTGCGTAACACCACTTAGGTCTCTTGAGTAATATTGTCATAGGATCATAAGCTTAATCATCATCATCATAATAAGACAAACGTTATGTAAAGCTAAAACACATGACATGTCGTTGATGAATCTACCTATGCTATCACTGTTAGCGCAGTGCCTCCATTAGTTAGCTTGTGGACGGAAGTTAGTTTCATGGCTCACATGTCAACATTGAACACAACAAGTAAGAGTTTTAAGGCTAACGTTAACCGTGACCGTGTTCCTTACCTGGACTAAACACACGTTATTAAACGCAGAGCACAAACCAACCACAACTTTGGTATTAGCAGCATATAGTAACTATTTACATGTTAACTTAGCTGGTTTGTCTTCTGTTAGAATGCTAGCTACGTCAGTTAGCTTGCTACGCTCTCACGCAGTTAACGTCAACGTTCGCTACTGTGGGCATTTAACTGCGGATCAGATACGGATATTATCATATTCAGATGTAAAGAGATATCCTCTAGTCCTAATGCCGACACGATTATTGTACTACTATGCTGTTCATATACAAATTACCTCCTTATGATCCGTTGCTTATACTTTTTTGACAGCTGATTCCTGAATCCTTCTTCCGGCCTGTTCTTCTCCTGTGATGATCCGGCAGCGGGTGTCCTTAATGTCGCATTACTGCCACCTTCTGGTGTTCATTTTCTGCTTCAATAACCACTTTATCTTGTCCTTTCCAACCCTCTAACTACTCGGTCCGTGTACGTTTTGTTAGTTTGATTTTTCGTTTTAACCAAAAAATGAAAATACCAGCCTTTTTTCGTTTTAAATCAAAAACGAAAAAACGGGAAACCAAAGCCGTTTCCCCGTTGTTGTTGTTGTTGTTGTTGTTGTGTGAATCAAAAAACTACGGTGGCCCTGAGAGGCCAGGGTGCTGCAAATAAAAGAACGCTGCAAATAAAAAGAAAGAAAACGCCGTGAAAATAAAAACGCTATTTGCAGCACCCTGGCCTCTCAGGGCCACCGTAGTTTTTTGATTCACANTGTGTGTGTGTGTGTGTGTGTGTGTGTGTGTGTGTGAGAGTGTGTGTGTGTGTGTGTGTGTGTGGTAGTCTAGATTTAAAACGGTTCAAGCTGCACGGATAAATCGAGCAGAATCAAACAGTTTTCACAGACAAGCAAACAACTTGAAAATAGCTTTCTGCAGTTTTGATCAAAGCTATGTTCTACTAACATTATACACTACACACATAATCTGCTCCCACACACAAAATAACGTCATTTAAAGTCATAAATACGGCAGCGACAGATATTATCTACATCCTGTGTAACTTTAACATTATAAATTTACCCATGAGATGTTTCCTGGAGATCCCCCAGCCTTCTTCTTCTCTCGCATAAAAAAACGCATGTGCATCATCAATAATAGTCCCCGGTAATTCACTTCCGTTGTGGCTTTTTTATTTGCATCGCGGCGTTTTTATTTGCGTTTTTATTCGTTTCTGTTTCTTTTTATTTGCAGCGTTCTTTTATTTGCAGCACCCTGGCCTCTCAGGGCCACCGTAATCCAGCGATCTGGGTCAGTGTTATAGTGATAATATTATAAACAAGGTGAATTTAGCGATCACAACGAAAACATCNAGTGAGGGCGGTTGGTGTAGAGCAGAAAATGATGAGGCATGTCAGAACAAGACTGATATTTTCAAGCTGCACATTTTTCTCTCTGCTTTAGACTTCTGTCTGGTTGTTTGCACAAAGCACTAAACACACACACACACACACACACACACACACACACACACACACACACAAGCATATATACATTCATACTTTTACACTTACACACATTTGTGTAATCATACATTCAGGCTCTTCTTCATACTCAAGATTAACAAGGTCTCGTTTTATTTTACAGATTATTATTCTATATGTTATTCTGTATTTTACACTGCCTATCGAAATCTATTAACAGAAACCATAAAGCAAATATGTCTAAATACAGGTACCATAACTCTTCAGTAAAATAAATTGCAGATGGTATCCCAGAATATTAAAAACGATTGTAATCTGAGAAGTTAAAGATTGTTATAATATACTGTATGTTACTATATATCTATTGTCACATACCATACTCACACAAAAGCGCAGAAACACATATGAACACACACCCAAGCAGGTGCTTCATATCAGAAAGTGCAGATCACAGTTTATTTTGGACTCCTTGTATCTGATTACCCTGTATCTGTGACCGATCCTTGCTTAAATATGAACAATGAAATGTGTCATCTTTCCCTGCCTGTTGTGGCAGAAATATATTATGTTACATAATACAAGCAAGTTCAAGCAAAACGATTATGCAAGGTTCACACCTACACTATATCAGCCCTATATAAATCTGTAGAAAACCTGTCAGTACTTTGAAGGAATAGAGGTGAATTTTGATGGGGGGTGTTTGAAGGGTGTTGAAAGAAAGCCTTGATAAGTGTGACACCTCTGTTTCTCACAAACAATCTGATAGTATACAGCAGCAGTAGTCTGGGTGTAAACATGCTGAGATATGAGCTTTATCGCCCTCATATCACCGACATCTGGGATCTCTCACTCTCACTTCTTCTCCCTTATGCTCTTAATGTTCCTTGTTGTTGTTGTTCCTGTGCCAGTTTATCCAGCAGCGGTTGCGTCAGCAGAAACGTTGTCCGTGGCAGCGCTAATTTGGCCTCCTTGCTTTTTCAATACTCTGAATAGGCAGGTGCATGTTAGTGTACACAAAATAAAATGCTGTCACTCTCTCCACTCCTCACACACACACACTGACGTACCTTTACACAGAACACAAAACACATAACTAAGCAGACTAGACACTTTTGAGCTTTTTGAATAAGGATGTTTGGAGTGAGCGGATTCAAGAATTTCTAACACTGTTCAAACATATAAAACAAGCACATCTCAGCCAGTTCAAACATTTGAGATTTTTTTTTTATTTGTTTGCCTGAATTAACGAATACACATTATCTGCATTTACAAATACTGCCTGGAGCCATCATTAATGCCGGTTCCACATTCAGGCATCAGCATATTGTCATTGTTCCTCATCCAACATATAATGATCCTCCTTAGTGGTTCTATTCTGCTCTTATTTAATATGTCTAATTGTTTATTTTCCACCTTCCATTATGTCAGAACATATTTCTTCTCTTCTTTCTTTACACCATCTGTCTAAAAAAAGTAGAAAACAGCTTGGTTGTTACACTTTCTTCCACTCTCTGCCTCTCTCTTGCTGTTGTTTAAAGAGGAGGTATGCCAATCTGACAGTGGACACTGACACCTTTCATCACCACCTTCCCTCTTTATGCAGAAACAGCATCGTGGCCGGATGCCATGGGTAGGTACTGTAAACATCTCTCCCTTTCTTTCCCCTTTCCCCAACACAATAGCGTCCAACATAATTGAGGCATGCGAGCCTGTGGCTGCCGTATGCCAAACATGGGTTGGATAAATTGCTGGGAAGGAAGAAATAAGCAGTGTGAGGAAAGGAGAAAACGGCTCTGTGTCTTTGATTAGATCAATCATGAGGGATTCATTCAAACAACAATACAATCCTTTGTTTACTATGTCGATGTTGGTTGTGAATGATTATTCCAAAGGATAAGCCTAAACTGAAAGCTGCTTGTTGACCTACTTTCATACCTTACCAGTAGCCATGAGGATGACAAACTATTTCTCAAAGTGTTACTACAAGTTGCTTAAGTAAGGCCTTTCCTTGTCTGCGATGAGCGCATCTCCCCTCTCTCTGTACACTATTCTGCACACTGCAAACAAGTCTGGACAGCTTTGTATCTCATCCCTCTTTGGATAAACACAGGCAGGAAATGAATGTGGTTTTACAATGATTCACTCCATACTGGAAGCATTTACTTTCAAAGAAATCCATTCAAAGCAGCTTTGGCTTCACATGTTTACTATTTTCTTTTACTTTGGTAGATATGTATCTTTTCATTTAGTTGTTTCCTACCTCTAAGACGCACCTTACCATGTTTGGTTACTGCCCTCTAACTGTCTGAGTTTTAACATTTTGGTTTTTTTTCCCCAGGATGGACCCACATCAACATATCATTTCAATTGTACTGTTTTATTTCTTGGTGTTTACTCCTGTAATCACATTAAAATATAAATCTGTTCATGGATCTGCGTGCCATTATCTCTGTGACCTCATGCAGACATGCTCATCCTCCACTTTTCTCGTAGCGAACCCATTCCTCACCAACTGCTGTAAGTTAAAGACAACAGAGCGTTTTCTGCAGTGCCCCACTCTGAAATGCTCTGTCTGAAGAGCTCAGGAGAGCATCCGCTTTTAACAACACCTGTTGGAAATCTTGTTGTCTTTCTGTTCCAGCAATGTTATGAGCTTTTTAGAGAATGTTGTTATTGTGTTGCTTTGCTGTCTGCACCTTTCATGTCTCGTGTTTTTTCTTTTCTGGTGCTTTGGGTCTAGGAGTGTTGTTTACCATACCAATGATAGTAAAAAGGCGCTTATTATTATTAAATAGTATTATTATTAATGCAAATAGGGTAACAATAATAACAAAACAAAAATAGTATTATTCTTTATTTTTATTATATTTTTTATTATTATTATCAAAGTTATCTTTTTTTTATATTGTGGTTTTATTTAGTCTTTTTGTTGCTTTTAACTTCTGCTTCCTGCCTCTCCCCCATTTTCTGCAGAATCCTTCATTTCTACATGTTTCTCTTCTGCTCTGCTATCTTTATTAGTGGAAAGTCAAAGTGCCTGGGGCCAGAGCTTGAACCACGCAGTACAGCTGGTTAGGGGCTGCCGAAGTAATGAGCTTTACCTTTAGCTGAACCATAAAGGCTGGTGCCTGCCGATGGGCATTCCTGCTCTGAAGTGAGGACAACACACAAACACATGAATGTGTACGCTCAGCGCCGGTTGTATCGACATTCTCTCATTTTAAAGGATCCATCTCATGAACAGCTCAAGACGAAGACCGAATAGCTTTCCTTTTGATTGTTCAGTAAAAATGAAGAATCATAAGGAAGCTGAGTCTTGGCAGAGGTCAGTTTTCGATATCAAGATGTTCACTCTACAGAGATATGATACATTTGAGATATTAAAACCACATAAGACTCTCCAGTCTGATGACGCACCGTACATCAGCTGTATACAGGATAACATGTTAAAAGGGAATAGATCCATAGCAGCAAGCAGAGCATGACTGAAGCAGTGCAACACGCATGTTGATATTGATGACGTCACAGTCAGATCGTGATTGTTATTGTTCCTTCCCACTAATTGCATGTCATTTGTAGACAAGAGGTGGACGTATGTTAATGTTATCAACATAGAAAATCAATTAACTTTATGAACAGAAAACAACTTCAGGAAGAGCAGCGGTGTTGTTTCAGACAGCAAATGGCAGCTTTTAAAGAATTTGCTAGGCTCATCGACCGAATTACATGAGCAGGTGACAAGATGTTTTAAATCTTTATCGCCTCTGCTAAAAAAAAATCATTTTAAGAGATTGCCTTTCCAAAAGTTACTATGACATGCAGGCGAAACATTTCTTATAACAATAATAATAATTCTACAAGGGCTCAAAGACGCTTTACAAAGATAAAAAATACAAAGTCAAAAATAAAATGGAGTT